CGTTTTTTTTTTTTTTTTTTTTTAACGTGTTCCGGTCTGTTACATCTCTTTTCTACGAAAGAACGTATTAATTGGTAATGTTTAAAATAACTTAAAGCTCTGCGTACGATCGGAAAAATGCGGCACGCGCTCTTCGAACGGCGGCGTTTCGAACACGCGATTGCGATGTGAAAGCGAATTAAAATCGGTGGATTGCGATTTCTGTAAATTCCGTTGAAAAATTTAGGTTCCGCTACTTTCAGCGGAATGTTGCAGTCAATTATGAGAACGAGCGATTCCGCACTCTTTTTGCCATCTTTGTGTGGCGAATACGGAAAAGCGCGAGATCAGCAGCGCAAGAAAGAGAAAGAGAGAGAGAGAGAAAAAGAAACAAGAGAAAAGCTAGAAATATTCTTAAGGATGATTTATCCAGACATTCGTTTTCTTTATTCGCAGGACGCGCTCCGTTTCCGTTTCGAGGAAACGGAGCGCGCATTCAAATTTGCGTCAAAACCGATTGCCACGGCACTCGATCTCAATGCTTACAATCCCGTAAACGAATTATGTGGGCGCGTGAGTATCGAACGTGCGCGAATCCATTAGCAGCGAGTGATAAATTGCTCGGCACAAAGCCGAGACGGAATTAAAATCATCCGCGTATATATTTTGGATAATTAACGAATGAACTCTCTTCTCGTTGATCTTTTGTCTAATTAAACTATCTGTCGCTTCTTTTTGTTTTTACGTGACGTGTAATTTTGAATTCAAACTAAATTGTCTCGTTTTTTTGTTTTGTTTGTTTTTTTTTTTTATTATTACCATTTTACGTCGCGAAAAGAGATCAGTTGCGAGTATGAAAAATAAAAATTCAAATCAGTTGCGATTCCCAGCGATAGCTTTAATTTTCGATACACCGCAGATGCACAGCACGCAAAAACACAACTCTCTCGTGCCAGATCTCTCGTGTCAGAAAAAAAAAAAAAATCTCATACTCCCTGGAGCATGAAAAATATATTGAAATTTTTGCGTTTCGGTCACACACGTTACACGCGTACAACAAACCGCGTAACAAACAAATATGCGATAATTGATGCGAAAGTTATTTGGTAAAAGCGCGTTTTTACACAATGAAAAAAATAATGAGTGCGATGTTTTTTTCTTAAGTTCGCGTACGGAAGATGTTGCGAGAATAAAAAAAGAATTTCCACAGAGAAAGTAAAAAAAAACATTTCTGACAAACGTGTTATTGTGTAAATGTTACGTGTTTCTTTGTTAGTTAAATAGAAGGAGAGGTTAAATAGGAGAAAAACAATCTTCCAAAGAGATTTTGCATTATATCACAAATGAGACTCACGTGCTAATTAGGTTCTTCGGGAAATTTTCACCACACGCGACGGCACCACACAACATTCAGCTCTCTCACATTCGCTATAATATTACAACACCGTGCATAAAACTTGTTTACGAGAACTTGAATCAACTTTGAAATTAATACGAGTTTTAAATTTCGCGATGTGAAAGTGTCGCGAGATACGTGACTACACCGACAAAATTATTAACCTGACTCGACAATTTACGCGAGCCTCGTAACAAAGAGTAACAACACACCGCGCGACGACACTTTCGGATTTTAATCTAGCCACCGCAGATACGTCACGTAAATCGTAAACGTTCCTTCTTACGTTCTGTTTTTTTTTTTTTATGACAAAGCCGTATTACCGAAAAGACTATATATCGAGGCACGTCGGTTCAAACGCGCGCTTCGTGACAAACTGACTTTAAGAGGAAGCGTGTGTGGGGGCAACGGAACCTTGCGGCTTTCGGGCGGGTTAACACGAGTCCTGATTGGAAGTCCGCCTCACGCATAAGTTGCTTCCCTTCTTTGTTTGACCCTTCTGGCGCGGGATTAAATTCAAGGGTTCGACTGCAATCGCCGCTATAGAGACTGAATGTTAAAAGACTGCACGTCACACACACACAAACAAACACACATTCGTGATATGTATTTTCAATAATTTGTCAGTGTGAGATCAAAAATATATTGATGTATAAAATTAATTAAATTTAAGAAAAATTGAAATAAAACTTTTTCTCGAATCTAAGTAAAATCTACTCTGACATTTCAGAAAAATCTCAGATTCAGTTAGGAAAACATGAGATTTCTCTCAAAAATATAAATATTCTCAAATAGAGAATCTAGTTGGAAAATCTAAACAGATTTTATGTAGAAAATTACGTAGAATCTACTTAGAATCCAATATGATTTCCGGACAGACTGTTAAATTTTACATCAGAAATTTTAGATTTCGATCAGACACGTATAATAATGTAATCTCGCGATTCTAAATAAGATCTCTCATTCAAATTCCACATAGAAAATTTATGTGAAATTGCCTTCGGAAATATTTCAGATATTCGAAACGCGCAAACCAGCGCATTCAAAAAATATATTTCAAAGAAAACACATTTTTAAATTAAAATCTCTGGAATAAAAATACATAATATAATTCACTCCGGTGACACTCCGTGTACAACTCGCTCTTGATTCTCAAATAACTGTATTTTCTCTTAATTCACATTGTAATGTGAAATAACATAAAACTTTTCAAAATAATTCTTTCTTTTAGAAATTTTCTTTTTGTCAAAATATCATGCACGTATAAAAACAACTGAAATAGTATCTTGGATTATTTTTTACATACCTATGTTTATAGTCTTTCTTTAGTTTTCCGTGCGCGTCTCAAGTTTCTTAATATAATAACGAGAAACTTACAAACACCCGACTTATAACCGCGCGCGACCTTCGTTTAGGTACATTCAGTTAGACGAGTTACGTTTTAAAGGGCGCGTTTGTATTTATATCTGGAAATATCGTTCCGTACACCCGCGCTAAATTTTATTCAAACTGATAAACTCGAATCGGGCAAAAGTTTGTCATTCTTGCGAACGATTCCCGACAGGCTTTCCGCGGCTTATAATTCGAGATTCATTCGCGGTATCCGGCAGGTGGCGGTGTCTTTTGAACTTTTACTTTTTTTTAACAGGCGATTTGCGAGCGAACAAAAGTTTCCACTTACCGGCGATGAGTTTACTCAGGGAGTAAACGTGCCGAGAAAAAAATCCGCTCTTCTCAGGATTCTTTTGCGATTTCCGAGCGCGCCCGCGCGCGCACGCTTTTCCAAAGGTCAGACCGTTCTGGCTGTTGCAATTTTATTCAGCTTTTGTGCGAGAGGGCTCCTTTTATTAAGAAGACACAATCGAACGGACTTATTATTATAGGGCACAGATATCATTTGCTTCAACAGTTTAAAAATAGCAAAAACAATTTTTATTCCTGACAAAATAAACAATTACTACTCTTTAAAATCTCCGTGAGACTAAAACTTTGATCAACCTCGTCGGTTTTCAAGCGAGATAGCGTGTGTGTGTAAAATATTAAACATAAAATTGCACAAGCTCGCAAATTTATATTAACACCGTAATCTTTGCGAGAGAGTATCTCACGTGAATCCCGCTGTTAATCTCGGAAAGCGGCGGTCCGCGATTATATGGCGACTCCTCTATGTTGGTAAACTTGCCGGTAACTCTTCCATGACAATCCTGTCACGCATAAAGTAAGTTCATGAAACGAGAATAATTCCGAAACTAGTCCGATCAAAATGTAAAAGCTGTTGTATATACGTTAATGCTTTGCAAACCACTTTCCCATGTGAATAACTGCGAAGATTTATCGCGAAAACGTATGCGACAATATTATGCAAACTGATCGATGATACCGCGAGCGCGATGTCCGCGCACTAGGTGAACATTATACACGTACGAATGTGTGTGTGTGTGTGTGTGTGTGTGTGTAAGATCTCGCACGGTTCAGTCTCGACTTATAGAATCTCGCAAAAATAAAAAAAATAAAAAAGAACCACGCGCGACCGAACAGTTTAGAGGAAAACGCGAACAATAAAATGGAAACGAATATACTGTCAAACAAATATACCGTTTGTGGAAACAAATATATTGTCGCTCGAAAACGGCGCGACAATATTCGCGAGAGAGACTTTCTTGCAACGTTTACCGTCGCGTGTTTCAAAGGAAAGATTAATTTCCCTACTACATTCCGAAAGTAACGGACGGGGAGTCACCGACGTATATCGTCGGATGTTCGAGACAGTGAGGAAATATTCAACATCTTCGTTCTTCTTTTAAAATTGAGTTGCGTCGCGGCGCAATCTCGCAAATTGAACAAACAATGTATCAGCGCGGTTGAAAGAAATTAAAATTGTATATCCCGAAGTATATATAACATTTCACTCTGTGCGCAGCAGAACATTCTCGAGATCTATCCGAGTAAGAAAATAAAAGTTTTTTAATATAGGAATGAATGAAAATGCCAATGCGAGCTATAATGTTACTAGGTTTTGTAAAAAAAAAATGTTTTCTTTTTAGACTTTATTTTTCACACAAAAAAAAACGTTCCTCTTTCATTCGATCCCTCTTATTTCGAGCCCTCTCTTATGGGATCTTTCTCGGCGTCTTATCAAACAATATACTAACAATGATGATTGCGTGAGGAAAGAGTCTGACTCCCGACTAAGATGTTTTTTTCTTTTTCGCAATTTGATTCATTTAAATTCACAGAAGGATAAAGAGCTTTTAAAAAAAATATATTTTATCTCCGATTCTCTCGCGAGCGACCTGTGGTTAATTCCAACGAATAATCGCTCGCTTTGGTAACGAAAACGGAAAAAAGAAAAATCTGAACGACTGAAAATGGCCAAAGCATATCGCGCTACGCGGAAAAATGGAAAGTGGCCGATTAATTTCTCCGCGACGAGAGTGCGGAGACCGCGAGGAGAAAGAGGCTGAGAGGACACGACGAATGCGGAGAGAAAAGAGAGAAGAGCGCGGCAGCGCGAGAGTTGCGGGATGTTGATGAGAACGCGCGTGCGCGGCATCCTGAGGAGCCAGCGCTTGTTATGGACGCCTCAGTCTCGGCTCGCCTGGGCTGTAGGCAACACGGCCGACGCCGAAGCACCGCGTCAAGTATAACGGCCGGGGAGAACCCTGGGAGACGTTCTAAAGATAGATAACGCGTGACCGCGGCGATTGCGATCGGGAATCGCATCTCTCGTCGGCGCGTTTTCGCGCGACGATGAGTCGCGCGTGACGCGCACGAACATCGACGGCGAACGATCGAACACGGCGATCGAGGACGCGCTCGCCGAGTGTTTCTTCAACGCTTCGGCGCGAAGAGAAGGAAGAAGATCGCGTTCTTCTTTCGCGTCTGTCGCGAAAACGCGTCGCAAAAAGACCGAAAGCGGATAAGCGAAGGAACGGTCGTTTTGCGGTGAAAAACGTCGTAGATGAAACGCGCGAATCGATTGCTAGTGAAAAGCACCGGAGAGAGGAAGGCAAATCGCAAGGCACTGCTCTCCGCAAATTGTTACACGATTCCTGATCTCCGTTAATCCTTTCGACGGAAAGCGATCGAATGTCGTTCGTGCATAACTTTTCCGCGCGACGGAAATTGATAGAGACGTGAAAGAGAAAGAGCGAGAGAGAGAGAGAGAGAGACAGACAGAGAGTTTCAGTGATACACCTTGCGGCAACGTGTGCTGGTGCGTCGTATCGTTATATGTATACTGGGTAAATGCGCGCACACATCTCGCACAGCGTGTGATGGAAATTTCGCAGCTCGCGGGCGAAGCGATCTTCGCTTCGTAAGCTGTTTATCTTCCAATAGCGGCGCGTTTGTTTGTTCATCTCTTGATTTTGATATAGGTGCGCTCAAGGCTGACGAGGATCAACCTGCTATTTCTCACGTTGACGTTAGTCGGACTAAATATCTCTCTCGCAAAATTGGCGCGAGAGACGTTACACGACACCACTATCTTTTTCCGAAATAAATTACGTGTAATTTAATGCGCGTAAACTAAAACGCAAATTTGGTGTCGAGTGGTGTCGTAAGTGCGGTAATTTGCGGTCTGTTCGGTGTGCATTAAAGCGTAAAAAGCACACGGAAAAGTTCAAAGTTAACTTGCAATTGTAATTAACATGTATCTTAGTACTACGTTTGTCTCTTTTCTTATGTTATCGCACTTAAACAAATAAACGTACATCGCGATTTTTTTATCCTTCGTTTTGCCTGTCAATTATTTTCTATTTGTTGATATAGTTTTCTCAAAAAAAAAAAACAAAAAAAATAAACAAAAATTCTAAAAACCTAAAAGTTGTTCACTCATCCGAAACAGTTATTGAAAAGATTTTGAAATAATTTGCAGGTAAAAAAATAAATTCGATCCAAGCACACATCGCGCAGTTTGATTGAACACAATGATTTTAAATAATTAGTTTAAACCGACAGAGTTCGACTCGTGCGCGCGCGCGCGCGATCAAAATGTCAAGAGAACATTCCGTCGAATACAGACAGCAAAACATTGTCACGCGTGATTGGATCAATTTCGCTTCGGATCGGCTTCGCAAAGCTGTTCGATTTGTGCGTGTCGCATAATAATTCCTTCGTGTTTCATTCGCCTGATGATGCATCGATTCCAAGGTTTACAAACGCGCTCGCCGTCCCCTCTCTTATCGATCTTTGTTTTTATAGGTCTTTCTCCGAATGAACGACACGAGTACAATAATTTAATGGCTAAAAGTCGCGCGTCACTTCAAAAAAAAAAAAAAAAAAAAAAAAAAAAAACATTTCACGCTATTTCGAGCTACAAAACCCG